GCCACAGATACACAATTGTGGGACTTGGTTCTTGGACTCCTACCCTGTGAACTGCAAAAGGGTGAAGACAAACTGCAACTCAAAAGATACTAATCTCTGCAATACCTCTATCTAAATGCAGCAAAGAAAGGACCTAACTGGTCATGGTAAACTACAACTCTCTTCCTGGGACTGCCAGTGACTGAAGCACTTTATTGCTACCTTTGTGAAATTTCAGGCTTAGTTCTCCCTGAAAGATGCTGCTGTTGCCGCTCTCTGAGAGGCAGAAGCAGACACACCGCATTTATTTACAGGCACTGAATACTAAGTTCTTATATTGTAGTTCAGTTTTAGTTGATAACAGTTTTACCACAGATAAAGTCTATTTCTTCATATTCTTTCCCTTTTTTTTTATTTGGGATGAAAACTGAAGATATGAATAAAGTGTAGCTCCTTATACAATAGCAACTGMTTTTGAAAAATTCCTTGTCAAACAATAAAGTTTTACACACATGAGAAACAGTTATATAGCAAGAGATGCTTTGGAAAAAATGCTTATCAAGTTAGAATACTAAGCACAGAAAGTATTTACTTTACATTTCTTTAATATTTTGCTAAAATTATAATTTAACTCATGATCACTTGTTTCAAAGGGATTAGTTTTTGTCCCCTTTTTTAAATTCAGCTACTGTGGTATGCCAGGATCTGAACTGTATTTCATATCATCAGCCTTGAAACTCCTGAATTCCACAAAATGAAAACTGACGTAATTTTTACCTGCCCAGTGTCAGCTATGCATTTTAAAAGACGCTTACTCCTTCACCAAAAAGCTTTCCCATCACATTCAGAACAKCAAAGCACTACATGTTGTGATACTGAATCTCTGTGAGGTTCTGCAGACAGCAAGCAAACAACCCACTGACCTCACAGCACAGCTGAGAAAGTGAACACTGCCTGCTCAGCCACCTGCACAATGAGCCCTCTGAGACAGAGCAGGTTTCTTYACCGAGTCTGCCTACCACACATCCCAATAAAACTCTTTTGCCTCATCCTCCATTATGTCTAGGAATATACCAAGTAACATCATTAGTTTTTTCCAATAAGAGTAAGGTTAATATTTTCCAAGAAGCTGCCCTCAAATTCATGTCAACAGTAGACAAGGGCCGTTCAACTGAGAACAAATGCGAACATTTTATGCCCTGGAAAAGTAAATTAAGCCCCATTTATACACACTAATTAATTAATAATAGAGGTTGCTGTCCACTGCCAGTATTATTTCTTCCTTCGAAGTTGCATGAATCCCAGGATGGTTTGGGTTGAAAAAGCTCACCTAGTTCCAATCCTCCTGCCATAGAAGTGGACACCTTTCACTGGACCAGGCTGCTAAAGCCCCATYGAACCTGGCCTTGAATACTTCCAGTGATGGGGCACCCACAGGTTCTCTGAAAAGCCTGTTCCAGTGCCTCACCATCCTGACAGTAAAGAATTTCTTCCTAAGATCTAATATAAACCTACTCCAGTTTGATGCCATTCCCCCTTGTCCTGTCACMGCAGCTCCTGATGAGCAATCCCTCTCTGGCTTCTCTGCAGGTCCCTTCAGATACTGAAAAGTTTCTATGAGATTCCCACAGAACCTTTTCTTCTCCAGGCTGAACAGTCCCAATTTTCTCAGCCTGTTTTCATAGGGAAGGTGCTCCMKTCCTCTTGTCAGCTTCATGGCCTGCTCTGGACTTACTCCAGAGATATCATGTCTTTCTTATATTGAGGGCCCAGAGCTGGATGCAGMCCTGCAGGTGGGGTCTTAGCAGAGAGGAGCAGAGGAGCAGAAACACTGCTCTTTATAGTTATCTCAAAATCAAAYATGGAAATCATTAATTTTTGGGAAAGGATATTCTTACTTTATGACATAAATGAGAAACTGTATTTTACACCTTTCTTTAGTGAAAGATTTTTCTTTTTATTTAAAAAAAAAAAAAAAAGAATATAGAACACCTTTCCAAATGAGGTAACTTGCCTGCAGCTTTCAGAAAACATAATGCCTTTTCTTCCCTTTCTTCTTTTTCCTTTTAAGTGGGACATATARTTTCTTTCTACCAAAGATCCACTGAAATACTTACCAAGCATGGAACCATTAAATGATGCAACTATTTTTAGAATATAAGAACACACGCTGGAGAAAAATAAATTACCACAGACTCATACTTTAAAAAATGAAACCTCAATTAAAGTTCAGTGGCAATATAATACATCAGACCTTATTTTCATAGATGAGAAAGCAAGCCATGCCACTCAATGTAGCATCTTTTCACAAAGACTAAAAATAGCTTATTTCAAGATATAATTAAGAAATTATATGAGTAGATTCAAAGAAGACATATGCTGTATTCAGATGAYTTTTCAAAACAGAACAGTTAACATGTTTCATACTAAAGTCTTAAACGTGAAGGAAGGCACCATTTAAGCAATTCCCCCCTTAAATTGCATACAATCCAGATTAGCAATKAAACAAAGAAAAGCATCAGGTTATAACTGCTTTTATATCTACCCAGTTTTCCTAAGTTATTGGGACAAAATCTCATTTGGAATGCAGCAACAATAAAAGGCCCACAATTAYGACCTAAAATAATCTATGGCCAGTTTCAAAGATATAATGACTTATTTTTTTTATTACAGAAAGAATATTTTATGAATAATCTCAAACCTTTTATTTCAAAGTTTGCATATTTTTTTTTAATAAAATAATAAAAGTCTGCAAAGGAAAAACCAGACCACTTCTGTTCTGGGGAAAAAAAAGAAAAGTATTTATTTTTTCTCATTATGGCTATAATTTCTAATGCCATCAATCAGCTATCTATTAAACCCTTTTATAATCCCTGAGGCTTTAAGGGAAAATTCACATTTTTTTAATTCAATTATCTAGCTAACTACTGTAGATAAAGCTCTATCRTCATGTCAAAACATGCCTTGACAAATTTTTAGTGGCTTAAATAAAATGGACCCCATGTCTGCTTTGCATATCCCTGAGAGAGGGAGAAWAAAACCTATATGAGAAAAAATACTTTTTTACAGGTTAAAAGAAAATACCTTCTCTCTTTCTGCATTCATCAGGATGAAGCAATAAACACCAAGAAGAGTTTGATTTTTTKACCTTTAGTAGTGTACAGCTTTGAGAAAGCTTAATTTATTCTTATCTCATTAGCAAAGGAAAGAGGTGGAGTGGGACAAGCAGAGATTACTTTGCACATACTCATACTCTGCATTTACTGACGTAAATGATTATTACACACACACCCTTTAGGAGCTGCACAGTACTAGGGAGTGCCTAAAGGACTAAAGCAGCAGCTCAGACAGTCTTTCCAGGGGAGTCCTATGACTGATCATAAACCTGATCTTCAGGAAGCACCACCTTGCTTCATGAGGGCACTTAACTAAGTTTTCTAATGTATCCCCTAATGATTTTAATAGACATATGAACAACACGTGTATATGAAAGGGTCCGTTTCCTGGCATGAGCATTTAAATACAAAAGAAACTGACTGCTAAAGAAAGGCATTTCCCTCACAACTGCATAATAAATCTCTCAGTTCCTTGTTAGTCTAATCCYTGTGCTGGGAAGCTGGCTATTAGAGGATGTCTCCACTCCAAAGGATGGTTTTCAACTGCTCCAACCCTCTGCTTGTACAAACAGCTGTGACACCAGTTTCCCTTCATGCTCCATCACTACAGATGGTGAGGTAATTTTCAGGACACAGAGTAGTGTGTATCTGTGCACTCTCCCTTGATATGGTGAAGGGCATGTATTTGTATGGTCAGGGCTTGGAGATGACATATTTGCATATGTATACTCAGAAAATTATGCTGAATGCAATYCTAGATTCACTAATCTCCAGTACCAATTTTTGCAGTTGATTTTGAGTGTCTCAGGCCTCCATCTGTAGCATTAAGATTTTGCTAAAAACAACTTYTCTCTTACTAGGGAAACAAAAGTACTGCGCATATTAGGCACCATCCCCATTAGCTAGCACATCCCTTAAAGTTTAAACTCTCACAGCTGCTTGTCAGTGGAAGAGATGCACCTTCAGAGAGAAACCCTCATGCCTTTCTATAGACAGCAGCTGTAGAAACCAGAGTCTAAAAAAACAGACCTGGTCCCTGCCAGATTTCTTTGAGAATTAAGTTTATTCAGTTTCAACCTTTGTGTGTCACAAAACTCCTGTAACAAAAGCATAACATTTCTAGCAAGAAAAACTTAAGTAGTTTTCCACTGCATTTGAAGTCCACTAATTCTCAAGACATCCATGTAGAATTGAAAATTCAGTAATATAGCACGCAAAATTGATGAGCCTACCACTGTGCAATCATCAATTGTGCCGCTATTACTAAATGAAAACAAAATTAACATTTTTCACAAAGAATTACGTAGGGAAGGCAAAAAGTAACAAAAATGGGTTAAAGACAGCAGAGTAGCCTCTGGAAAAAAGTGCATAAATTACAGCCAGTGTTTTCCCGTTCTTAAAAGCATTTCTTCATTATATTTCATTTCTGATCTTAAGCAGAAAATTATTTTTAAAAATAGTTTCTACTCAAGCAATACAAAACAGTTTAAGCTTTTGTCTGAGAAGCTGAATTGTGTTCCCTACAAGTATTTTATCTGTTATACAGTAAAATACAGTTAAACACAGTATTATTTCATTATATTGATAGCAAACAACAACAAAGTTACACATTCACACTCACTCAGCACAGTCAAGATTTATATACGTCCTGGTAGCAGAGAATAGGTTTTCCCTTCTGGGAAAAGGACTGCAGATGGACAAACAGGATGACAGGCAGCTGCACAAGCCAGCCAGGAAAGAGGCAGGATAGAACAAGAACACTGAGGGCAGTTCTGCTCAGCTGAAAAATGCCATAGTCTCCAGGCTGAAGCCTGGAACTGCAACATACTCCTACACAATATAAATCAACATCATGGAAGAAAGTCTATCAAAGCATTGTTCCCCATTTTTTCTTGAGGACTGTATAACTAGTCTAACTGTAAACTGTATAACTTATAAACAAAATGGCTGAAATCTCTAAGCCACACAACAGTARAAAACAAACAGTATTTACAAAACTAGGTCCCATTAGTTGAAAATTTTACTACATTGGACTATTTGGAACATAATTTTATGACTTTTAATTCCTGAATAAAGCTTGAATTACTGAAGTAAAAACCAGAAAAACAAAAATCACCGAAATTCATAAAGCTACAACATACTAGACATAACCTGACAATAACAGAACACCAACATTTAGACAGAAATAAGAAGTTAAATGCAAACTATATAGGAAAATATCTGTGCTTTGACGATGAAGACTTCACTAAGAATACACAGCTTGACCTAACACTTTCAAATATAAACCAAATATGTAAATATTTTAGCCATTATTTTGGCATTATGTATTTACAGTGTAGTGTATTTCTTCAATTTGTACCTCTTATCTAGCCAAAAAGCCCCTCAAACTATTATTACATAGATGACAAAATATCTTTTGTTGACAAGAAYTAACCCACTTTACTAGCTTAGACATAAAAAACTTGGTCATTAAACTTTGGTGAATTTCAACAGAAATTTAGTKTCCTGGAGTAGGTCTGGGGTATTTCATAAAATGATACAGATACACACTAATAAAAAGTCACTTTAATACATTCATTATACAGACTGAACACACAACTTCGTATATTAAAATACGTTATAGGTATTAAYAGAATCTTCGTAGTTTTAATTTTTTGCTCCTACTCGAGAGTTTGAACATGCGAGCTGTAAATGTGCTTTTTTTCCATCGGGCTTTATTTAACAGAGGAAGAAACTGTATTACAATAAAACATGAAGCACTGTTTTCTTTTTTCTCAAGATTTCTTTGCTTCGGGAGCCTACTGAGAACTGATGTTTTTCTAGCTTCACAACAGCTATGGAGTTTCCATAGGAACTTATATCAACAAATACTGCAAAATAAATTAAAGTGTTCTTTATATTGCATGTATACTTGAGCTATAGGTGAAAGATTCCTACAAACAGGGACTGAGGTGAATAAACCTATCCATGTCAGATTTAAATAACACATAATGAAATAATCAATAAACTTCAAAACATTCAGGAAGTAAATGATGATGCAGAATCCAAATTGCACCATTTTCTACAAATCTCTCAAGCAGTTGATTTTAATCAGTGCAGGTATTCTTAGAAAATTGAGTTTTTGATTTTTTGACCTTTTATATCACAGTTAATAGCAGACAAAATGAGATAAATTACAATGATGAATGTTCAAACAAGATGACCTGTGCCTGACTTTCTGATGCTGTTCGCTTAAGCAGCCTAATTTGGTCCAGTTCTGAATGTCCCACCGATTTCCGAGTTAGAGACTGCACTGAGTCAGTTATGTTGTATCTGCTAGGCTGATAAAAGCCATAATATTCTATACTCTTTTCTCCCGAGTTTTCCAGCACCTTTAGTTTCTGCCTAAACTGAAAAATTTTACAGGCTAGGAACAGTATAACAGCACAAGCCAGAATGAAAAAGGCTAGTAAAATGTCAAAAGCTTGATTCAGCTTTTCAACCCGCTGTGTACAAATCAGGGTTGTTTTTAATGATACAGAAGAAGCATCTGTTGTAAACAACAATTGTTCTTCTACAGCTTTAATAGTAGGTGTAATCTCTGCTGGTATTTGCACTGGTAGTATTGATAATACTGTAGTTGCCGGTGATGAAATTTCAACAGCATATTCTTCATAAAGCAATGGGGTAGAAGACGTAGCTGTAGTCCCTTCCCAGAAAGCAACATACTTAGTTTCTGCACTGGCAGACTGTTGCAGTGTGCTGTGCCTGCTCCCTTTATGCCAGGCCATCAGCAGAGTGGCAGCTCCCAAACCCGGAGCAGCACCCAGGCTGGCCCTAGGGCTAATGCAGTCTGCAAACACAGCCCATTTCATATAATGCAGAGGTCTACCACGCATACTCTGGGGGTTCTGACAGTGGATTTTTACTGAAACATGAGATGATGCTAGCCAATTAAGTAATCCAAGCATTTTGCAACTGCAGTTCCAAGGATTAGAATTTACCTGTAGATGAGTTAAAGATACTAAGGGCTGGAGCACTTCAGGTTGTAACTCTGTGATATTATTAAATGCTAAACTGAGTATTTTAAGTGACTGCCCCATTTTTTCAAAGGTATCATTGTCAATAGTGGCTATTTTATTTCTGTCTAGCTGTAGATACATTAAATTGTTCAATAAATTAAAAGTGCTGGAATTTATATTTTCTAAATCATTATAACTTAAGATTAGCTGGCTAAGGTTGTTTAATCCAAAAAATCCATTTACAGCAATACATTTTAGGTTGACATTTTTCAAAGACAAATATCTAAGCTTGTTAAGTCCCTTAAATGCAAAAGGCTGAATTGATCCAATGGGATTGTGAGACAAAGAAAGTCTTTCAAGATTTTTGAGCCTTCCAATAGCATTTGATGGCACAAGTGTTAAGTTGTTACCTTCCAGAAACAAGTATGCAAGATTTTCAAGATGATGAAATGCTGAATCTGATATCCGTGAAATCTTATTATTGGCTAGGTTTAGTGTTTGGAGACTTATCATTCCCAAGAAAGTTCCACTTCCAAGAACACTGAGACGATTTCTTTGAAGTGTTAAATATCTAACAGAAACAAGATCACTAAACAATCCTCTGGGAACAAAAGCTATGTGATTATTCTGAAGGTATAAACAACGAAGACTGGAAAGGCCTTCAAAGATTCCTGGATCCAGGCGTTTAATATTATTGTTATCTAGATGCAAATAGCAYAGCTTGGGGAGTTCCACAAAAGATTTTGGGTGTACATACAAAATACTGGAGTTATCCAAGTAGAGTGCAGCAAGCTTCCGAAGGCCTCTTAGTTCATTTGGAGTGACATGTGATATATTATTTCCACTGAGGTAAACAAGAACAGTTGTTTGTGGAAGGTTCCAAGGGATGCTTGAAAGCCCTGCATTACGACAGCTAACTTGTCTCCCTGTGCAGAGCTGACAAGCAGATGGACAGCCAAAAGCCTCCTTCTGAAGCAGCAACAAAAGAAAACAATTTAGTATATACAGGAATGCTCCTGGGCAGGGTGGAGAACTTTGCAGAACACACATATCCCTGTCTTTAGCCTTCTTACTCATGTCTGACTTCACTAGTAGAGATAAAAAGAAGTATATAAGTATCATTAATTCAAATATATTCATATATATTAAGTATCATTAATCTATTAAATCTATGTGATAGCACTACTCTCAAAATTGGTATTTTACATATTATCCTTCCATGCCAAACTAGGAGTTTAAAACTTAAATTTACTAACTGAACTACACTGAAAAAAAATTTTTCAAAGTAAATGGACGATTAAATAAATGCACTGCCAGCATAGCCAGAAAATATTTAATTGGCTGCAGCATAAAAGCATCTAAGCAGCCAAAATAACAGCTTCTATTAAATAAAAAATACTGTTTATTAATTACTTTTTATAGTTAACCATTACTAAGAAATGTTTCAAAAGCATTCAAGTAGAAATGCCAACTCTAAACAAGTTACCTTTCACTAGCAGCTCACTTACAATTTGAATTTTCCTTTTATAAAACTGACTTACATTTAAAATAAATTAAAACAATTCCTTACCCCAAATCTGAAGTTCATTGTTTCTCTTATTTTGCTGTTTCCAGTTCACTGGACTAAGTYACAAGGTGACCGACTACACTCATCTGTGAAACCTTTGTAAAAGTAGTATTGTTGTGTACTACAGCACACACATTTTTGCCCCAGGATTTGCAACAGTTTGCTCAGGAAACTAAGAAAGAAGTGCCTAAAGTCAGGTTGCCATGGATACAGGAAACCCTGGGACAGGAAGTCATTTTATCTGTGCTTCTGAAGTATTGTTGGAAAGGAAATCTCAATGATTTGTTTCTAGAAAACCAAGAACTATCTTAGTCTGTAASTGCTGGTTTTTGTTGTGTGAATTTTTTTTTTAATCTACTGACTTAACTAGGAGAGCTGAAAAGAGTTTTACCTTAGTTAGTATCATTTTCAGAATAAAGCACAACTATTTTTAACAGCATTATTGCATTCCCTGTTAACAMCCTTATCTTTCAGCCAGAATCCGAAATGTTTTATTAGATCAGCAGCAACACTTACACTGCTCTCTCTGTGTCTACAGAACCAAATTGCTGTCACATACAYACACATTCCAGTGTTGGGCTGAGGGGGAAACGACACACACCCTGGAGGGAAGAGCCCAGTGCCTCCTGCCCTCTGGCAAAGCACAACCTTCCAGCAATCCCAAAGAAACCTATGAAATCTTAGACATGAGACCTGCATGAYATTGTACTAATCCGCTTTGTACTTGTACTTCCAACTTGACCCAAGTAAAGTCTCACTTGACTTTGTAAAGTCCAACTTGACTTTGTAAAGTCTCACTTTAGGCCGCCCTTTTTAAAGCAAATTTATGCACAAAGGGCTATAGTTCTGAGAGCCACACCTCTGGTGGACAGCTTTTGTTTCCTGCAGTGTCCCCTGTGCAGAAAAAAAACTATATGGGCTATAAATATCCCTCTCACTTAAGGACCGGAGATTACATCCTTAGTTTATGCATCACAGGGAAGAAACAGTTGCTAAGTACAATCATATCATCAAAGGAGGAAAGGGGAGATTGGGCCTGGAAATAGCAGCGTGTCTATAATCCCATGATTTTACTGCAACAAGACCTTCTGCTCAGCAAAAGAAAGATGACAAAGCCCAGCAGGAGCCATAGCCAAAAAAGAGGCACAGCAGCAGGAGAATCAAGTCACTTCAGCTACAGTGATCTCACACAGGAAGCATGAGTTCACGTAAGGGGTGAAATGTAACCCAAAGATCTTTGTCTATATAATCCAATCCAGGAAACACATGAGAAAGGGAAGCAGAATAGACAAGGACATGGTTTTGAAGAAGCTTTCTTGCAAACATCTTGTCTAATACAAGAAATCAGTAAGTAAAATTGGTCCATGGGCCATTTTAGACAAAGCCTGTATCAGTTACAACCCAGAATCAAAACTGCATTTTTTTTTCTGAGACCAATAAACCAATAGGAAAACTAACTGTTCTTTAGATTTAAATATTTATTTTCATGCTTTGTCTTTTTCCCAGTATTTAACATAWTTGTTGGCATAAAGAAAAGTAAAATAAAATGTCACGTCATTTACTTAAATGGAAAACACTGTATAGTTGTTAGGAGTATCTTGGATGTGGGGGACAGAATACTAAGAGTATTTGGAGAAGATTATCCAGATCAAATAGAGTCAGACAGCGGGAAATTCAGAGATTGATCAAAAATGGAAAGTGACTTCAAATGGAAAATTATCTTCTACCTAAGCTTTACTACACACAGTCCATTTATACTGATACCTGTATGTGTAAAATATACAAAAAACCAAAAATTCTTACTAGGTGTGCTGTGTGAAACTACCCGTTACAGCTACATGAAGTAAGTCAAATTAAAAAAAAATAGAGTTTTAAAAGGTTCATTTCTGCAATACATCAGAAGCAACATATTTTGAAAAACTAAAGGAATGAATGAAGCTCTATGGTATATCAGATAGCATGAAAATTTAGAGTAACTCGTAGAGCAGTGGCCAGATAAAAGAAAGCCAATGGACCAGTAAGTGGCTGAATGTCTCCACAATCCTGTGCTGAAGGTACCAGATCAATATTCGTAAAATTTTTGCTTGAACCCTTGCTGCCACTATGGTTCTAAGCACATTGCTGATCTTTCCAATTTTGTTAGATCCCATGTCCAACAAGAGGGAATAAAATTTCTTAATCCAGATCATGGCTCCTTCCAATATTACTAGGAAATCCAGAGAAAGTCCTGTTTTCCATTAAAAATATCGCACTCAAAGGCCTGCAGATCCAACTGCATTATCATTTAGAGGTATATTTATATTATATATTATTAACACAGATTGTTAAAAGTATCTGAAAGCAGTATCTGTTAAGAACGAGATGCAAAATTACTTGCCACATAACTGATACCATTTTTGGGAAAACCATAAATAAGGCTGGGAYACATGTGTAACATGGATCTGCATTTCTCAAAGTGTCTTGTACTTTAACAGCAAAATTCATTACTAGTTGAAAATTCTATTGAAAAACACAGAAAACCCTAACAAGCTTAGGCAGCACTCAAAGAAGTATATTTTATTCATGCAAATTTTGTTCTCCAGTGAGAGAAGTATTGGGTTTGTACCTGAATAGAGCTTCACATGGTAACAGAGTAAATAATTTTTGAATCTACAAGGGAATTTTATCTTCATATATAAATATTGCTGGAGTTACTAATGCTACTGCTTTTTAACATTAAAATCTAGTTCAACAATGACTCTTTGTCATTCATTCCAAGCATGAACCCTAAGTAACAGCAGTTTGTCATATTATGCATAAAATTACAGGTCAAAGTAACTGAAAGAACATACAAGCACTGCCCCCATGTTAGATTAAAGAAAATACAATAAGTATTAGGTAGCACAAAATAGTCATTCAAATCCCACTTATGTATAGCAGAAAWCATTCAACAAGTTCAAAAACAGGGTCTAAAATAAATTTCTGAGGAAGGAATTCCTTCTCACAATCTCTACAAAATAGCGTTAAAGCTCATGCAGAGGACAACCAATTTTTAACACTGTAATTATTCTTTTAAGCTTATAAGAGTGAAACCATCTATTGGCCTCCCATTGTGTACTTAGCAATTACCTCCTCTTGCAGGTCTGCCTTCCTCCTACTTTTATACTCCACAGGTAGACTATTGTAAAACTTCAGTTTTTCAAATACTTCCTTCAGCCCACGTCATCTCTAGATAYGATCAGACCAGACCAAAGTAATTCAGGTACTAAACTACGTTTGGGTAGCACAGACTTCACCATTTAAGTAACATCCAATAGACAGCTGAACTGTTGACACCTTAACTCATCAGATCCCAGAACACTTTTCTGTTTTTCTTGTTACCTCGTTTATGTAAAAATTTCTSATTGTCTCAAATATTGCAGATTCCTTCTAGCATTTAATTCCTGTTTAAGTAAAAATCTTGACTTGCTGCTTCCTTTACCGAGAATTTTTCTCTTCTGCAGTGTAAAAACAACACTATTTTTTCCATCAATAATATGAAAATAAATTTCCATTCTATAAATCTTACTTGACCCTAGACTCTAGTAAAATAATATGACAGAAAACTCTTGTGAAACTAAAAGTTCACTTTTAGAAACTTTTAGAATTTATTCTCCTTATTGAGAAAACTAAGCCCTCTACGGAACAACCACAAAGTTTGTGAACAAAACAGTAATAGAAAGAAGCTTGGCCATGAATGTAATCCATAGATGTGATACGCTTACAGTGACACTATATCTTCAGCCTTTACTATTTACTGCAATATTTAGCAAGTTGTATTCAAACTATAAAAGCAGTTAGGTACTTAATATGAATGTAATTCAAACCAAAAGGTTCAAAGAACTCAAAGTAATTTCCCAAATTTCAACTTCTAGAACCCAACAGCAACTGTCTCCTAGTTTAGGAGACAGGATGGGCATACACTTGGCATTAGCAACTGACAGCTCCAAATATTTAACAAAAATAGGAAACTTCAACGAACCCTAAAAGCTACCACAGAGACTACCCACACACAAAATACAACAGCTATTTCTTAGAAATACAAGTATTCTTACCACTCAGGCATTTTTTTAATATCAAAACCCAATGTTTTGTTTTAAATCCTCACTTTCTCTCTCACTTTAAATCCTTTGAATATGAAACATTATTTTTCAAGAAGTACTTCTTTGCAGAAGTTCTTGTAGTGACATGGGTTGTGGTGCTAATCACTACTTGTATCTTATCATAATCATCTGGCACTGTTTAAGAAAGTCACCAAAAAATCTCAGCTAMTCCCTGGCAGCCTCAAATTTCAGAGAGTATAGCAGAGAGAAATAAGCAGATGTGCTAAAACAGCTCAGAACAAACCCAGACACAAAACCAGCTGTAAATATGCATTTTGGGGTTTAAGTTTCTTAAAGTTTTGAGACTTTTACACATTTTTAGTAAAATGCTATACTTCGTCAATAWCTAATTTGCAAGCATGTAAACCATACATTGCAAAGAGTTTGAAGGAAGCTAGTTAGTCTGTTATCTTTTGCTCTCTTTTATAWAATTAAAATGTTAAATTTTTGGATCAGTCATATGTAGAATAGTTTTAACAAAGACCTCAGAAATTCTCTATACAGGCCATAAAAAAAAAACAAGGTAGCAGCAGCAACCAAACCCTTATGACTGAAGCTTATACTTTTGCAGCAGCTTAGCTGCAAATAGCTGCAATTAGTGACATAATTCCTTGCCATCACTTGGTACACTTTTCCTTGAAATCAAGGCTTAAGGGTCTTAGGGGAAAAGATGGTATACTCCTGACCAGTCCATAGYAGCAGTCAAGTGCAGGAGAAAAATTGACAGAGACTGTGAACAAGAAAAGTTTAATGAGTGCATCATTTCACCAATGCCATAATGTGACAYGCAATTAAGGAAGTTGGCAGTGCTCTATGTAACCTTCTGAATTATGCACACTGATAGTCAGAGTAAGACCAATGCCACATTTTTCACTCTTACCATTAAAACTGCACTGCTACCTGTCAGGCAGGCAAGCAAAATAAATCCAAGGCCAAACACTGATGACAACTGCAAAATCATAATTTAAACAGCTCCTTTAAATGCTAATAGTCTATTAGAGGCGTGGGTGAGCATACCTTTAACTAGAGGGATTAAAAAAATGGAGGGGAAGATAAAATAGCTTCAGAGTATCATCTCTATAAAAGGAAGGAGAATGTAAAGTAATTATGTAAGAAATTCTGACTTTATAAATGAGGACATAACTATCCTGAGGAGAACATGACATTTTATTAGGCACTTTCTTGCCATTTACCAACATTACACATAGACAACTTTTTGAGAGGAAAATTAAAATTTCTAAGTAATTTTAACAAATGACAGAGGCAAAACTCT